TCTTCTTCTTCTTCTTCTTCTTCTTCTTCTTCTTCTTCTTCTTCTTCTTCTTCTTCTTCTTCTTCTTCTTCTTCTTCTTCTTCTTCTTCTTCTCCTCCTTCTCCTTCCCCTTTTTCTCCTCTTCCTCCTCCCCCTCCACCTCCTCCTCCTCTTCCTCTTCCTCCTGCTCTCCCCTCCTCCTCCTTCTTTTTTTTTTTTTTTTTTTTTTACAGATTAGCTATGTGTTGTACATAGCATTTAAGTTCTTCCAGGACCATGGGGCTATCAGCACAAAACAGAATGTGGGAAATTCTACAAGACAGATGACCCAGTTCTCCCAACAAATAACTTGCTTTAATTATTTGGCTCTAAAAGTACTTGGGTTTCTCTAGGGATAATCAACTGTAGAGACAAAGGTGAAAACAGAAACTTTTAGGGGCTACCATAGTGATCTACAAAGAAATGATGGTAACTCAGACTAGGATGTTTGCTGATAAGTGGCCAGATTGGGACATAAATTGTCTTGGTTTATTTTATGCTGTTAGAACACCATAGATCTTGCAGATGGACTAAATGCTGTTTGTATAAAAGGATGGCCATGAGTCTTTGAGGGGCCAGGGGTGGAATGTTATGGTTTGTGTCTGTATGTCCCCCCAAAGCCTCATGCGGTCATGGGGCAGGCTTTTAGAGTTTGAATGATTATGGCTGTGAGAGGTATAACCGCCCTGGGGTGGAAGTTTGCATATGTGAGGGAGAGGAAGAGGAGGCTTGGGGCCATTTCTTCCTTTTGGTGTTTTTTACTTTTGCTGTGTTCTGCCGCCAGGAGCTGTAGTCCTCTGCCATGTGCCACTCTGCCTTGTAACCTGCCAAGTATGGACTAAAACCTCCACAAACTGTAAGGGAAATAAACCTTTCCTTCCTTAATTTTGGGTGCCAGGTATTTTGTCCCAGCAATGAGAGAAAAGTACCCAAGACAATAGACTAAGAAGAAATTTATTGGGTCACAGTTTTAGAGGTTAAGAAAACTAAAATCAGGTGTAGTGGTGTTATGCCTGTAAGCCCAGCAGTTGGGAAGCTGAGGCAAGAGGACAGCCATGAGTTCGAGGCCAGCCTGGGATACAAAGTAAGTTTGAGGCCATCTTGGACTACAAAGCAAAACCTTGTCTCAAAAAAAAAAAAAAAAAATCAAGGAGCCAGCATCTGGTGAGGGACTTTTTGCTGTGTCATCCTGTGGCGGAAGGGTGAAGAGAAAATGAGAGAGTAAGGCAGATGAACTTGCCCTTTTATAATAATGAACTGGGGCTGATACAATTGTACTAATCCACTCATGACGGCACAGATCTCCTGGTCTAATCACTTTTACATGGCCCCACCGTAACTGCTGTTGCAAACGCAATCACATTTCAATGCAAGTTTCTGAGGGAACACTCAAATCACGGCATGTGTTGAAATGACAGCTAACAGGATTTGCTGCTGGATTGTATGTACCATATGAGAGAAAAAGATAGAGCCAATGATGATCCAAGAAATTTTCCCTGAATCAGTGGAGTTACCATTAATTGAAATAGGTTGACTAGAGAAGAAATAAGATTCAGAAGAAAAATCAGGAGTTGAGGTAACATCTATTAGATGTCCAAATGATAGTTAGCAATATCACCCAAGAGCTCACAGGTGAGTACTGAGTAGGAGATATAAATTTGGGAATTTTCAGGTAATATCAATGTATTTAGGTCATTAGAATAAAAGAATAAAGTGAGTATCTGTAGACATGGAAGAGAAGCAATCTGTTTCTTCAAAAATACTGTGGAACAAACAACCCTAAAACTTAGTAACTTGAATTAGCATTTAGTCTCCTGGATTTATTTTTTGTTTGTTTGTTTTTGTTTTTTGTGTGTATGTGGTACCGGGGACTGAACTCACGACCTTGCACTTGCCAGGCAGGTGCTTATGCCAATGAGCTATATCCCCAGCCCCAAGTCGTCTGGATTTATGATTACCATTTAGGCTCATGGGTCTATGATTGGGTAAGGACTGATCTACTTAGGCTGGGACTGGCTGTGATGATTTGGTGCTAATTCACATGTTTTTCATTCTTCTCCTAAAGCCAATGGACTAGCCTAGGCATGTTTTTGTTCTTCATGGCAGTATGAGAGTCACAAAAAAGAAGGCAGTGCTGGGTATAGTGGCACACACCTAATACCCTAGCAGCTGGGGAGGCTGGGGCAGCAGGATTGCAAGTTCAAGCCCAGCCTGAGTAACTCAGTGATTTAGCAACACCTTGTCTCAAAATTAAAAATTAAAGAAACGGAGGGGGCTGGAGATGTAGCTCAATGTAAAGGCTTTGGGTTCAATTGCTGGTACTGCAAAAAAGGAAGGAAGGAAGAAAGGAAGGGAAGGAGAGAAGGAGGAGAAGGGAAGGGGAGGGGAGGGGTGGAAAGATCTGTTGGTATCCTGTTCTTTTATTCCCTTTATCTTTATGTGTCTTTCTCTACCTGACTTGCATTTAGGGCCAGACTTTGGAGACAGTATCTATGTACTATTTGTGGAAAACAACACATTTCTTTTTCTCTGTAGACATGAACTAGTTGGCCTATTTAAGATTAATTTCTTCCTGAGAGTTTAACTATTACTTTTTTGTTCAGTCTCTCTTCCAGTGGTAGCAACACATAGGCTCCCAAAGCCCTTTCTGGAATTGAAAATGGTACTTTCCCCCCCTCTTTCATCTTAGAGAATCTTAAGAAAGTGTTGCTTTGCGTTATTTGCTCTCAATCTCTAAAGTTTAACACGGTCTAGCTCAGTCTCTTACTGATGCTGTTAAAGACAAAACTAGATGTTAAAGCAAGAAGAACACATCAGTAATGGACTATTACAGTTGGGAGGAAGGCCCAGTGTGAAGTGAAACCATAAAAAGGCTAATGAGGGCTTATAAGGGACAAGGAGGAAGGGGACCTCCAGGGCTTCAGTAGAGTCAGGGAGTTGAAAACTTAATGAGGGTTGGTCAGGGCAATTGCAAGTAGACCAGCTCTATGTGCCAGCTGACAATTGCCAAAGTTACAGATATATTTCCTGCACCAGAGACTGAGAGAGAGAGGCCCTGTCTGTCTTGCTGATTACTTTTCAAAGGGATGGCACTCAGGTCTTGGAGAAAAGCTCTTGAGTCCTGGTAGGTACATATACATCTCAAAGAGACAGAAGGGGGATTCCTAAGTGTAAGCCCTTTTCAGTAAGTGTGGTAGAAAAGGGTGGTTAGGGACCTATTGGCTAGAACAAATAGCTTTTTTGGCACCTTTAAACTTTCTCAGGGGAGCACTGAAGCGGCCCTGGCGTCATCCTAGGGATGCAAACTATGTTAATGTTTGTTTTTAGAGTTTTAAAACATTTTATACTGGAGATTGAACCCAAGTTCTTTGCAAATCCCATCAGCAGCCCCGCTTTTCTTTTTGATACAGGGTTTCTCTAATTTGCGAATCTGCCTACGCTGGGCTCGAATTTGCAATCCTCCTACCTAAACTTTCCAAAGTGCTTGGATTACAGGTTTTTGCCACCACGTCCGACTTTTGGCGGGTATTTTACACTTGCAGTCCCTCTCAGTCGGGACAAATCGCTTTTCACGCGCTCCACTGGCTACAAACAACTCCTGCATGGGACTACATCCGACAGCTGGACTGACACGTCTTGATGACGTCAGAGAAGGGCGGGTTTTAGCCAGAAGGAGGCAAAGCGTCTCGGAGAGCGTGTTTTGGGCCCCACCGGCACCCGTAAGACAGCCTAGGAGGCGACGGTGCCGCCACGTCCGCCGCGGTGGCGAGAGTATTGGTTGGATTTCTAGGCGGCGGCTGGTGACCATGGCTTTTACTCTATACTCGCTGCTGCAGGCGGCCCTGCTGTGCGTAAACGCCATCGCCGTGCTGCATGAAGAGCGCTTCCTCAAGAACAGTGAGTATGGCCGCGGGGCGCGGGCTGAGAGGCCAGCGGAGTCCGAGAGGCGCGGACCTAGCTCGGCCGCGCGGGGGAACAACCCGGGCCGAGAGAGGCAAGGCGCACTGCTTGGGGTGAGGTAGTCTCTTCCCGGGAGGCAGCCGAGCCACTTTCATCTCACCGCTCACCGGGTTTCCGCTCATTGGCAGCGTGAATATTGAACAGACGCCCTCGATGTGCAGGGGGCGAGGGAGGGAAGATAAGAGATGAAACCCGGATGCCCCTGCCTGGGCTTAGTTTGGGTCAGTAATTTCACTGAATTTCTTTGTTGCCGATTTTAATAGTCGAAAAGGTAGGAGTCTGAATTTTGAGTGAGAGTTGGGGCTTGGGGAGGGGGCGTGGCTCACGTTAGAGCTTTGGTAGTTAGAAGAATGGGCTGATCGAGGGCAAACTAGGGTTCTTGCGCTTTGGGGATATAAGAAGAAGGGGAAAGAAAGTGAGTTGAAGATAAGAATATGTAATACAACAACCATTGTTAATTTCCTATCACCTTGTGTGAAATTCTGTATTGCTTTTATGTTGTTTTGTTTATGTCTCTGTGTTTGTTAATTTGTTTTTGTTCTTTTCTCTTTAAAATAAAAAAAAGGGAAAAAAAGAAAAAGAAAGTAAAGGAGTAATCAGGACAGCCAGTACTCTCTTTCCAAGAGGTTTAGTACAGCTTAATGGGCGCCTGTAAGGACCAAAGACTGTGCTAGAATTTAGGAATACAAAGATGAAGACACAAGTATGGCTGTGGTAACTTCACAGTCCAGCAATCATCATGCCAGCCTGGGCAGGCTGCTTCTTGCTAAGGCAGAATTGAGATTGGATACTCCATGATGTGAATTATTTGTCGCAGCGTACCAAATATGATCATGTGAATCTTTAAAACTCGAGTGATTCATTTATTATTTCAGAAAAAATTTATCGAGCACATTTATTGTGCTCAAATTATGTACTGGGCCCATGTAATAAGAGCCAAAGCTAAAGCATTTGCTTTGCTCTTCTAATGAAATTTAATCAAAATGAAAATAAGTAGCAAGTATGTGGAGTATCATGAGAGAGAAATGGGGAGTGCCAGTAACTTGTGAATCTCCAAAACCTTGGAGGACGTATGTCCAACCTGAAATCTTGTAAGTGGGTAAATATTAACTAGGTGAAGGTGAAGGTGTGAGAAGCTGAGGAGAGCCATGAGTAGTGGAGAGCTGGTGTGGAAATTCTGAAACAGGTGAAAACAGTCCTAAGCAAGGCAGTGATGTGATCAGATTTTTGTTATTTGCAAATTCCTTTCAGCTATAGTATGGGGAACACATTAGAAGGGAAAGAAGTAAATGTCGGAAGAACAATTCCAAGTAAGGAAAGTAAAGATGAGAGGATATAACTATAATGATAATCAGTAGTTATGTAGCAGTTATGTGTAGGATCTATATCAAATGCTTTACATATGGTATTAACCTGTGTAACCCTCACAGCAGCTTTGAGATCGTTGCTTTTCATCGTTGCTTTACAGATGGGAAACCGAACTCATAAAGAGTAGGTAACTTTTTCAAGATCAGACAGATAGAAAGTTGTGGAACTAGGCATTCTGACCCCCGATACTATATAACAATTGTGTCTGTGAAAGAAAAAACACTGAAGTCTTAACTCTTGGTAAGCCACTCCGTGGCTGTAACCTTATTTGGAAACAAGTTCCTTGCACATGTGATCAAGTTGAGATATCATACTAGGTTAGACATTGTTGGATCTTTGATCCAGTGACAGGTATCTTTATATGAAGTGGAATACAAAAAAGAAGTCTATGGGACAATAGGCAGAGATTGTATGTGATGTGGCTACAAGCCAAGGAACCCTAAGGATTTCTAGCAACTATCAGATGTTAGAAGAGGCATGGATGAGATTATCCCTCAGAACTTCCAGAATTCCCCAGACCTTTTGGCATTTGATTTTGGACTTCTGGCGTCGAAAACTGAGAAAATAAATTTCTGTTGTAATAAGCTTCAATATGTGGTACTTTATTATGGTAGCCCTAGAAAATTAATGCAGATGAGAAGATACATTAAAGGTAGAAAAGGGAGAACATAATGTTGGACTTTGGGAGTGAGGGAGAGAGGATAAAGTTAAAGATCTCTTAGAGGGTCTCTCTCTTAAGCCACTGAATGATGGTAGTACTGCATTAGAGGGCAGTACACATATATGATAAAAGGGTAATGATTATTACATTGATGTTTTAAAATCTTCATAATTGAAGTGAAAAAGGAATTATTGTCAGTGGAAAGGATCTAGTAAAGGAAATTAGGGGTAATGGTGGTAGATAAAGAGGTAAAAACATAACACAGTAAGTTTTACTTTCTGAGCTTGATGTTTCTATGAGATATACAAATGGGCATGTAGAATAATCATTGGATTTAAGTCCACAGAACCGAAACATAAACCACGGTGGGAACTGAAATTTGAGTTTGTCACTGGGCATGGTGGCACACGCCTGTAATCCCAGCACTTAGGAGGCTGAGGCAGGAGGGTCACTGCATTTCCTGGGCTAGTGAGTTCAATAGTAGCCTGTTCTATATAGCAAGACCCTGTCTCAAAAACCCAAAAAGAAATTGAGTTTGTCAGTCACTGATGATAAAAGAAGCCATGTGAGGAGAAAAAAGTATTCAGGGAAAGAGTACACTACAAACAGAATTTATGCTCAAAGCAGTCCTAGAATCTCCTCTAGTATTTAATGTTTAGGTAGAGGTAGAGGAGCTGACAGTAAACTTGAAGGAGCAAAACAGAGCTGGGGAAACTTAGACAGTGAGGTTTCACCAAAGTCAAAGTTGTTTGAAGAAGGACAGATAGTCAAATGACACAAATCTGGCTGAAAAGCCAAGTAAGATAACTGAAAAGAGTCATAAGTATTTAGAGTAATTGAAATTTTTGGTGATTTTAAAAGAGAAGTTATAGCAGTGGGTAAAATCAAGATTGAGATGAGAAGTAAGTGGACAGTGATAAAATAGAGACAAGATTATCTAATTTTATCACTAAATTGAAGGAAAAGAAGAAAAAGTATGTTGAAGCGTATTTTGTAGTGGTTGTTTTGTTTTGCTTTTAGATAGGAAAGACTTGAGATGTTTGAGCAGTGACAATGAGAACTAGCCCTAGCCAGTTGTCTTTAATAAATCAGTGCTCCAAAGAATATGAGGAAGGGGAGGGGCTGACCAGTAAGATAGTGACACAAGGTATAAGAACTCTAAAAAAGAGAGACAAAGAAATGGGTATAAGGAAGGTATTCATAAGCAATTTGTAAACTTTGATTGAATCCTGATGCTAATATCTGTAAAAGGTATTTCAGAAACATTTGATGAAATTTGAATATGGTTTAGGACGTGATGGTGAACCTTTTAGTGCTTTCAGTGATAATAAACAGCCTTCTCCAGCATGCATGCCTTAGGTTCAGCACCACTGGACTAGGAGGTAGTAGATGGTATTAATGAATCACTGTAAAATATTTTGTATGTGTGATAATGATGTTATATATTATAGTTAAACAGGGAAATGCTTTTTCGCTTGTTTGTTTGAAACAGATCTTGCTGTGTAGTCCAGGCTGACCTCCAGTTTGGGATCCTCCTCCTGCCTCAGTCTCCAAAGTGCTGGGATTACAGTCATGCATCAGTGCACCTGGGGAAAATGTTCTTATTTTTCCAAGTGCGTGCTGAAATATTTTAGGAATGGTATATAACACCATTAAACTACTTTAAGTTAAGCAGAGAAACCATAAAGCACATGTGATGAAAGGTAACAATTATTAAATTGAGTGATGTTTTAAAATCTTGATAAGATTCCTACATTTGGTAGCAAAAAGTTTTCTTCATTTTTTAATAATAAATAGGCCAGGGGCTGGGGATTTAGCTCAGTGGCAAAAGTGCCTGCCTGGCAAGCACAAGGTCGTGAGTTCGGTTCCCGGTACCGGAGAAAAACCAAAAAAAAATAAAATAAAATAAAATAAAATAAAATAAATAGGCCAATCACTGCAAGCTAGGTAGAAAGGATATAGAAGCGAACATAACACAATGTTCCTGTTCCTTCATAAATTGATCCGCATTTTTCCCGTTCCTTCATTAGGACAGTGATGGAAGGGATAGATGAAGGAATAGATGTTTAAAATAATTATGCAGATAGTTCATTGACCATGGGACAAATGTTTTGGAGGAAGATAACAGGGTACAGACACATGGGAATGTAACTTACTGGGTGAATAAGGACAGTGTTATTTCCTAAGGAGAGACATTTAAAACAGAATCTAGTTCAAGTTACCTTTAAAGTTTCAAATAGAGGTGTAATGATGTCCTACAGGTGTTTGAATATACAGATCTGGTGCCCAGAATGACTTCCTGTCATTCTGAGATTTTCAGTATTGGCTGGTTATTTGAAACTATTGGAACAAATGCTATCTTGTGAAGAAGTTCAAGGATAAAGTTCTAAAATTATTCATTTTTGTCAGGGTTCTTGGTTAAAAAGGAACAGAAACTGATTTCTGGCTAATTAAGCAGAAAAGAATTTACTGAAGTTTTTAGACTGGAGAACCCAAACTCAGACCCATTTTTTAATGAACACGTAATTTGTGATGAAGGTAACAAATTAGAAAAACATACAAAAATAACTAATGCCCATTAGTTATTTTATTAAAAGAATGGACCTTTCAATAAATGATTCTGAATTAACTGGATATCTAAAATGAGATGCATCTTGATTTCCTACCTCATACTAAACACAAAAGCCAATGGCAGCCAGGCGTGGTGGCACATGCCTATAATCCCAGCACCCAGGAGGCTGAGACAGGAGTATCGTTGTGAGTTCGAGACCAGCCTGGGCTACAAAGTGAGCTCAAGGCCAGCACAGTGAGACCCTGTCTCAAAAAAGACAAAAAAA